AGCTTCTTTGGGCCTCTTGGGGGCTTCTTTGGGGCCTCTCCCCCCTCCCTCCTTTTCATGCTCCCTCCCCATATCCCTGTCCAGCGCCAGCTCTAATCATGCGCGCCGACGTGACCAACTTCCACCTGGCTGGCGCTGCGCCGTCGTTCGCCCAGGGGGGGAAATAACATTACGCTCCGGTCGTTGTGTTGCCTTGTTGGGGCTTCTTTGAGGCCTCTTGGAGGCTTCTTGGGGACGTCTTGGAGGCCTCTTTGGTTTCTTTTTGAGCCCTTTGGGGGCCTCTTCGGGGCCCCTCGGGGCCTCTTGGGGGCATCTTGGGCCGTCTGGCGTTTTTGCGCCGTTCCGCCCCTTCGGAGGCTGTCTTGGGGGCCTCTCGGGGCCGCCTTGGGGTTCTCTTGGGGTCCCCTTGGGCCGCCTCAGTTTTTTTTTTTTTTGACCGCCTTGGGGGCCTCTTTGAGCTGTCTTGGGTCCCTCCTGGGCCGTTTGGGGCCCTCTTTGGAGCCTTTGGGGGCCTCTTGGGGGCGTCTTGGAGCTCTGTTGGGGTCCTCTGGTGCCGTCTTGGGGGTTTCTTGGGCCGTCTTGGAGGTTTTTTTGGCCGTCTCGGGGCCCTCTGGGGCCGTCTTGGGGCCCCCTTGGAGGCCTCTTGGGCCGTTTGGGGGCCTTCTTGGAGGCTGCTTGGGCCGTCATGGCCTTCCGAGAGCCGAAAAAGGCGAGAACGTTGAAATTGACCCAGAACTATAGGATCATCAAAGATTTTGGCCTCTGGAGGCGCTCTCGGGAGTCTTCTTGGGGGCCTGTTGGACTTTTTGGGGGGCCTCATGGGCCCTCTTGGGGCCGTCTTGAGGCCGGCTTGGGCTGTCTTGGGGCCATCTTGGGCCGTCTTGAAACCTTCTTGAGGCCCCAAGAGGCCCAAGAGGCCGAATTTGTTGATTTCTTGTAGGTTTTTGTAGGCTTTTGGGCCCCAGAAGGGGCCCTCCACCTTGGGGTCGACGGAAGTGGCGCGACTCCGGGGGGGGGTTAGGGGGGAGACATAATAATGCAATACCATACAATACGTTGCAATTCTGCAAGCATTGGACACATGGGATCCATTGCATTAGGGCTTCCGTTCCGCTGCGCGACCTGCCTCCGGCAACACGTCCCTTCCAGCGCCAGCTCTAATCATGCGCGCCGCCGTGGCCAACTTCCACCTGGCTGGCGCTGCGCCGTCGTTCGCCCAGGGGGGAAATAACATTACGCTCCAGTCGTTGTGTGGCCTTGTGGGGGCTTCTTTGAGGCCTCTTGGAGGCTTCTTGGGGATTTCTTGGGGGCCTCTAGGTTTTTTTTGGAGTTCCTTGGGGGCCTCTTGGGGGCCTCTCGGGGCCTCTTGGGGGCATCTTGGGCCGTCTTGGGGCGTTTTTTGCGCCGTTCCGCCCCTTCGGAGGCCGTCTTGGGGGCCTCTCGCGGCCGCCTCGGGGTTCTCTTGGGGTCCTCTTGGGCCGCCTCAGCTTTTTTTTTGACCGCCTTGGGGGCCTCTTTGGGCCGTCTTGGGTCCCTCCTGGGTCGTTTGGGGCCCTCTTTGGAGCCTCTGGGGGCCTCTTGGGGACGTCTTGGAGCCGTCTTTGGGCGCTCTTACGCTGTCTGGCCACTTCGGAGGCCACTTTGGAAGCCTCTCGCGGCCGCCTTGGGGCTCTGTTGGGGTCCTCTGGTGCCGTCTTGGGGGTTTCTTGGGCCGTCTTGGAGGTTTTTTTGGCCGTCTCGGGGCCTTCTGGGGCCGTCTTGGGGCCCCCTTGGAGGCCTCTTGGGCCGTTTGGGGGCCTTCTTGGAGGCTGCTTGGGCCGTCATGGCCTTCTGAGAGCCGAAAAAGGCGAGAACGTTGAAATTGACACAGAACTATAAGAAAATCAAAGATTTTGGCCTCTGGAGGCGCTCTCGGGAGTCTTCTTGGGGGCCTGTTGGACTTTTTTGGGGGCCTCATGGGTCCTCTTGGGGCCGTCTTGGGCCGTGTTGAGGCTGGCTTGGGCTGTCTTGGGGCCATCTTGGGCCGTCTTGATACCTTCTTGAGGCCCCAAGAGGCCCAAGAGGCCGAATTTGTTGATTTCTTGTAGGTTTTTATAGGTTTTTGGGCTCCAGTCAGGGGCCCTGCAATTCTGCAAGCATTGGACACATGGGATCCATTGCATTAGGGCTTCCGCTCCGCTGCGCGACTTGCCTCCGGCAACACGTCACTTCCGGACGTGGATTCCTCTCGCTTCGCGGGGTGCACGTCCGGAGCACGTGCATTCTCGTCGTCGCGGGGCCTCTTGGGAGCCTCCTGGGGGCCTCCTGGAGGCCTCTTGGGAGCTTCTGTGGGCCTCTTGGGGACTTCTTTGGGGCCTCGCCGGGGCCAACTTCCACCTGGCTGGCGCTGCGCCGTCGTTCGCCCAGGGGGGGAGAAATAACATTACACTCCAGTCGTTGTGTGGCCTTGTTGGGGCTTCTTTGAGGCCTCTTGGAGGCTTCTTGGGGACGTCTTGGAGGCCTCTTTGGTTTCTTTTTGAGCCCTTTGGGGGCCTCTTGGGGGCCTCTCGGGGCCTCTTGGGGGCGTTTTGGGCTGTCTTGGGGCGCTTTTGCGCCGTTCCGCCCCTTCGGAGGCCGTCTTGGGGGCCTGTCGCGGCCGTCTTGGGGTTCTCTTGGGGTCTTCTTGGGCCTTTTCAGGTTTTTTTTTGGACCGCCTTGGGGGCCTCTTTGGGCCGTTTTGGGGCCCTCCTGGGCCGTTTGGGGGCCCTGGCGCTTCTTGGGCCTTTTTAGGACAGTTTTGGTGGCTGCCTGGGCGGCCATGGGCTTCTGAGAGTCGAGAATGGCGAGAACGCTAAAATCATATATAAACTATAGAACAATGAATGATTTTGGCTTCTGGAGCTCTTGGGGGTCGTCTTGGGGCCCTCTTGGGACGTCTTAGGAGTTTCTTGGGCCCTTTTGGGGCCATTAGGGTTTAGGGTTTAGGGTCTAACAGGCTTGGCCACGAGTACAACTTGCCCACGAACCCACCTGCGGTGGCCGTCAATCCCACCCGCAAGCCACCCCACCATAAAGATCATCTCTCCTCTCCTTGTAACAACATCGGTGCACAAGCACGACGGCAAACGACGACGACGAGGACGACCGCGCAATAGCAGAGTGGCGGGACGACGACGACGACGACGACGGCGACAACGGATGTGCGATCCAGTGGGTGCGCGAGTGCTCGAACGGGCTAAGGATTCTGCAAGAGTGTCATTGCCCGCCAATCCGACTGCCACACCACACATGAGCAAACTAACCACCAATAGAATTTGAGGCCTTGCGCGACCCCGACACCACAGCCACAAGACGCAATCTGCATTAGCTTGCGAAGCCCGCACACACACGCACAGACACACGCAAACACAAACACACACACACGCGCTCACACACACCGACGCAGAGGCAACAACGCTGTGCCACGAGGTGCATGAACGAAGACAGCCGAGAGAACAAGAGCGCACATAATAGACTGCCCGCGCGCTCGTTTCCACCATCGGCAGCGCGACATCACCGATCATAGTCGCGCCTCTGCGACTGGCGCGCAGAGAAGCCGGTCCAAAGAGTGGGGATCCGCGCCCCAAGATAGCACCGCCCCAGCGCTGATTTGACCAGCGATAGGCAGTGCTGCTAAAAACGTGCGCTCCATAAACGGCAAGAGAGGGCGAGCGCCCCGAGCCAAGAGAAAGATAGAGAGCAGACGATGACATGCATGGATGATGGATGCGTGGATGTATGCGTCGATGATGTGACCATGGAGTAGACAAATTGATGCACGAACTGTTTGCGAGAAGTGCGTGAATACCAAATTCAATGCACAAGTAGATAGATAGATGGTTACATGCCTGGATTGACGCACCATCTTAGCCTGCACAACGATGAATAGATGACAGCGTGTATGGTATGCTAAGAAAACATCATGCAAGAACAAGTGGACGAGATAGAGTGGAAAGGATGGCGGCTGGGATAGCATGCGTGCACCATCGGCAGCGCGACATCGCCGATCATAGTCGCGCCTCTGCGACTGGCGCGCAGAGAAGCCGGTCCAAAGAGTGGGGGTCCGCGCCCCAAGATAGCACCGCCCCAGCGCTGATTTGACCAGCGATAGGCAGTGTTGCTAAAAACGCGCGCTCCATAAGCGGCAAAAAGGACGAGCGCCCCAAGCCAAGAGAGAGATAGAGAGCAAACGATGATATGCATGGATGATGGATGCATGGATGTATGCGTCGATGATGTAACCATGGAGCAGACAAATTGGTGCACGAACTGTTTGCGAGAAATGCGTGAATGCCAAATTCAATGCGCAAGTAGATAGATAGATGGATACATGCCTGGATTGACGCACCACCTTAGCCTGAACAACGATGAATAGATGACAACGTGTATGATATGCTAAGAAAACATCATGCAATAACAAGTGGACGAGATAGAGTGGAAAGGATGGCGGCTGGGATAGCATGCGTGCACCATCGGCAGCGCGACATCGTCGATCATAGTCGCGCCTCTGCGACTGGCGCGCAGAGAAGCCGGTCCAAAGAGTGGGGATCCGCGCCCCAAGATAGCGCCGCCCCAGCGCTGATTTGACCAGCGATAGGCAGTGTTGCTAAAATCGTGCGCTCCATAAGCGGCAAGAGAGGGCGAGCGCCCCAAGCCAAGAGAGAGATAGAGAGCAAACGATGACATGCATGGATGCATGGATGTATGCGTCGATGATGTAACCATGGAGTAGACAAATTGGTGCACGAACTGATTGCGAGAAATGCGTGAATACCAAATTCAATGCGCAAGTAGATAGATCGATGAATACATGCCTGGATTGACGCACCACCTTAGCCTGAACAACGATGAATAGATGACAACGTGTGTGATATGCTAAGACAACATCGTGCAATAACAAGTGGGCGAGATAGAGTGGAAAGGATGGCGGCTGGGATAGCATGCATAGGGCCACTCAGTTCCCAGGAACTACTAGAGGGCCCTCATCCACCATAGCGTGGATGACATTGAGGGTTGCCGTGGAGAGTGCCGTGCAGCCGCTCGCAGATGTTGAGCAGCGTAGCCCTCTGCTGCCCGCTGGGACTGGTAATAGTCCCTCCATCGACATGGTCCTCGTTGTAATAGTGCGTGCGGACATAGGACGCGAAGCGGAAGATGCGCTCGAATAGCTCCTCGGAGACCACGGCGTGCAAATGCTGCACCTGATAGTCCTCAACGATAGGGTTGAGGGCGCGGGGCTGCAGCACCGGCATCATGAAGCCGTGCAGCGAGGAGATGTGATAGAGGACGCGCGACATGTCCGTCGGCCGCACGAAGCGCAGCTCGTTCTCCCAAACGCGCTCGATAGAGCAGTCGCTGGGGACGATAGCGTAAAGGTCAGCGGCAATGGCAGGAACACGCACATATAGATCGGATACACGATCGTCGTGCATGTCCTCGCTATAGGCCAACACCTCGGTGTACTGCCCCTTCCGGAATATCGCGTAGTGGAAGTGGAGCATGGAATATATGGACATGTAACCCAGACGATGATAGCCACGAGCGTGACGATAGTTCCTTAAAAAGTCGTGGGGCGTGCCGTATCATAGGTACACGTCCATCATGTCGTGATGGTGAGTGCTCGCGTGCATGATAGCACGCCAGCCGTGCCAGGCCCCATCTGGCACGTCGATCGGATCGTACCGGTCAGCGACCTTCGTGAGCAGAGAATAGAAATATGCCACCCAGGCCGCGGCGGGGGCGGGCAAAAAGAGGGTGATCGTATGATACCCCCCATGCTGGATCTTCCAGTAGACTTGGAGGAACGAGTAGGAAGTTGAATGCAAGCGAAAGCTCCTACTGAACCAAAAATGGCAGAACGAACATGATAGATGCGACCGCTGCCGCTGACAGAAGATATGCAGAGAACATGTGCTGCTATAGGACGCCAGCGATATAGGCCTCAGGCAAGTAAAGTACAGAGAAACGCACAGACAGATAGCGCCCACTCTTGGAAGACTCACGATGTGCTGCTATAGCACGGCGGCGGGGCCCATGCTGTGCTGATATAGGCGCGGTAGCGGGATAGGCCGTGGGCAAGTGAGGTACAGGAAACGCATATAGAAATAAGGGTCCCCACTTTTTGGGGCCCCATGCGGCGCTGCTATAGGCAGGGTGGCGGGAGACGCCTCAGGCTAGTAAGATATAAAGAAACCCCATAGAGATACAGGAACACATTGAGATAACGGCTGCCCAATTTGTGCGCGCGGTAGCGGGATAACCTTGAGAAGTAAAAGATATAACGGCTCCCCATTTGTTGAGGGCCCATGCTGTCCTGCTAGAGCACGGTGGCGGGATAGACCGTCGACAGTGAGATACAAAGATACATATAAAGATAACGGACTGCCTTTTTGGAGAGCCATGCTGTGATGCTATAGGTGTGGTGGCGGAATCGGCCCGAGGCGCGTAAGATGCAAATTAACCATCATAGATGCAAATAAGCACGCGAACATACAAGGGGTGACAACTTTTTGGGAACCCATGCGGTGCTGCTATAGCACAGTGGCGGGACAGGACGTAAGCAAGTGAGGTGCAAAACATGCACGCAGAGATAGCGGGTCCCCATTTTTTTGGCTATATCACGGCGGCGGGATAGAGAGTAGACAGTGAGCCACAAAGCAAACGCATAGATATAACGGACCCCGGACCTTTTTCAGGGCCCATCCTGTGATGCCATAGACACGATGGCGGGGTGCACCTGAGGGAAGTAAGACACAACGCACATAGAGATAACGAACCCACTTTTTGGGGACCCAGATGGCCTAATATAGCACGGTGGCGGGATAGACCGTACACAGTGCAATACAAAGAAAGGCACATAGAGATAACGCATCCCCACTTTTTCGATTGGAATGCTGTGCTGCTATAGGGGCGATGACGGAATAGGCCCGAGGCAAAGATCCACAAATGCAAGATAGACGCAGTGTGGCCAAATATTACAGTCAACAACGCAAATGAGAATCGGAGAGCATCCGATAGAATCAATTCCACGCACAATCAGACTGACAAAAGTACGCATAATCGGACGCGCCATAGCACGAGGCAAGCGAAACACGATGCATAGCGAACGGTGCAGCTGCATAGGCGCATCGCGACCACATACTCAAAGTCAATAGCACAAGTGAAATATGAACAAATACTTTGATAGACTGAAGACAATTACAACCTTAAGCTGATGCATAGCGAACAATGCAAGATAGACGCAGTGTAGCCAAATATAAAAGTCAACATCACAAATAAGAATCAGAGAGCATCCGAGAGAAACAAATCACACGCATAATCAGACTGACAAATGATAGGCATAGTCGGCCACAGGTCATGGCACGAGGCAAGCGAAACACGATGCATGGCGAAGGATGCAGCTGCATAGGCGCATCGCGACCAAATACTTAAAGCCAATAGCACAAATGAAATGAACAAATACTGTGATAGACTGAAGACCAACTCCTGAGCTGATGCATAGCGAACAATGCAAGATAGACGCAATATGGCCAAATCCTAAAGCCAATCGCACAAATGAAATGAACCCAAGTCCATCCGATATTCAGGGGAAGTACCCAAGGGCGCTGCAGGTGCAACGTCGACGACGACGACGACGACGGCGACGACGGATGTGCGATCAAGTTGGCACGCGAGTGCTCTAACGGGCTAAAGATGCTGCGCGCATGCGCAGGAAGCGCGAGGTGTTCCAGGAGATGGAGGCGATGTGCATTAGGGGGTCGCATTTTATATTGTAAATACGAGAGATTCTGCACGCATGCTCAGGATGGAGCATGCACAGGATCAGGACATGTTTTTTTTGCAGTAGATGGAGCCGGTTTACTTAAGGGCTTGCAGCGGGGACCGGGCATTCTGTATGGAAAAACATAGGGTATCCTGCACGCGTGCTCACGACGTAGTATATCTTGCAATCGATGGAGCGGGCCTGCATAGCGGCCGGTTTCAGAGGATTTAGGGTTTAGTAATGGTAGGATTAGAGACTTAGGGTTTCGGCTATCGTCGCTGCCACTTATCGTGTCCTTGACAGGAAATGATGTAAAACATTTGGCGCCACGTTGTCGCGAGTCATCTGGATCTTTGGATAGTATATGAGGAGATTGCAATCGATGTGTTCCGTGCGCAGGTTGGGAACACGTGCGGCCCAGTCGCTGCCAGACTGCAGGGGATCTCCGGGGGGGCCTCTGGGCTGCGCCTTCTGGGCGTCTGTGGGGTTTTGGGGGCTTCCTGTTGTCCTTCTTGCGCGTCTTGGGCTGTGTTGGGGCGCTCTGTGCCTCTGCTACCCCTCCCTTCCGCCTCCCGCCATCCCTCCTTTTCCTTCTCCCCTCCCCCTCCTCCCTTCCAGCGCTGGCTCTGATCATGGACGCCGCCGCGACCAACTTTCATCTGGCTGGCGCTGCGCCGCGTTTCGCCCAGGGCGGGATATTATTGTTTAGTGACTCACCGAGGGTGTTTCAGAGCACGTTCAGTCCAGTCGTTGTGGGGCCTCCTGGGGGTCTCCTGGGAGCTTCTTGGAAGCTTCTTGGGGGCTTCTTGGAGCCTCTGGGGGGCCTCTTTGGAGCCTCTTGGGGCTTCTTGGGGACGTCTTGGGCGGTCTGTGGGCGCTCTTGCGCCGTCTGGCCACTTCGGAGGCCTTTTTTGGGCCCTCTCGCGGCCGCCTTGGGGCCCTCTTGGGGTCCTCTTGGGCCGTATTGGGGGTCTCTTGGGCCGTCTTGGTCTTCTTTGGGCCGTCTTGGGGCCCTCTGGGGCCGTCTTGGGGCCCCCTCGGGTGCCTCTTGGGCTGTCTTGGGGTTCTTTTGGAGGCTGCTTGGGCCGTCGTGGGTTTGTGAGAGCCGGAGAAAAGCGAGAACGCTAAAATCTTTCAACAACCTAAGGGACATCTATGTTTTTGGCTTCTGGAAGCGCTCTGGTGGGCGCTCTTGGGGCCCTCTTGGGCCATCTTGGGGGCGCGTTGGGCCCTCTTGGGGCCATCTTGGGCCGTCTTGGGGCGGCCTTGTCCCGTCTTGAGACCATCTTGGGCCGTCTTCGCGCCTTCTTGGGCCCCCAGGAGGCCCAAGGAGCCGAAATCATTGACTTTCCATTGGTTTTTGTTTGTTTTTAGGCCCACAAGGGGCCCCCCACCTTGGGGTCGACGGAAGTGGCGCGACTCCGGGCGGGGGGTTAGGGGGGAGACATAATAACGTAACGCAACGCAATACAATGCGTGGCAACTGTGCAAGCATTGGACACATAGGATCCATTGCATTAGGGCTTCCGCTCCGCTGCGCGACCTGCCTCCGGCAACACGTCACTTCTGGGCGTGGATTCTATAGGCTTACGCCGCGTCCGCCGACCCCCCCGCGGCCATTTTGGCTCAAGCGTCTCGCTCAAGGGCGTGTGAATTTTACATTCCTGTATCCTTGCAGGCGCCAGGAGCAACCCAGTCGCAGCCCTCTTGGGCCCTCATACCACACCATGCCTCTTACCCCCGTGCTGCCGCGATGCCGGCGAAGAAGCGCCACATGGGGGCGCCAGTCGGTGGAGAGCATGAGCAAGCTCGCCACGATTCCCCGCTGGACCGGATGGATGGCGACGTCGAGGTTGGCGGGGGTGGAGGAGCAAGCAACACTAACAAGGAGGACGTGCACGTAAAGGAGATGATGGGGGTCATGATGACGGACATGAAGGAGATGAAATTGATGATGACGAGGAGCGAGAGGATCGCGCCGGAGGCTAAGGACGAGACGACGTCGGCGAGGTAGTCGGCGCTCAAAGCGACCTTAGATATCAGCGGCCTGGAGGACAAGTTCTATAAGTTCCAGCAGCCGGCCGCCACGAAAGAGGATGTGTCCAGGATGATCGAAGAGACGATGTCACAATGCACTATTCCGCGCAACTTGGCTACGACGTCAAATTCATCCACAGCAACGGCCGTCGTCGGGAACGTGCCCAACGTAACGACCCTTGAGGATGCAATGAAATTGGCGTCTACTCTCTGCTTGGACCATGGCCTTCCAGCCCCTGCTGCGCGGGGCATGTGCTGCAAGAGCGAATTCAAGGGGGTGTTCTTCATCAAATTTATGTCTGACCCGTCGCGCCAGGTGTTCCTTGACACTGTCAACTCGTTCGCGAGAGGACAGCCGGGGGGTTCGGGAACAGTGTCTGGGCGAAGCCGGACCTCCCTCTCGACATCCGCATGCAGCGCGGCGTCTTCTTCGGGCTCCGCCGGTTGCTGTGGGCGTTGGGCTTCAACAAGACGTGCGTCGAGGTGAACGCGGGCGACTCCTCCTTGTCAGTCGCGGGGGCCGTGGTGGCCAAGATGGTAGTGAAAGACTTCCAGCTGGAGCTGAAGTGGGTGGACCAGGGGTGGGGGAAGTGGGATGCATTGCAGTCGTCTTCAGAGCTTTCCGAGATCACCGTCAGCGCCCAGGGGAAGCTCGACAGGGCGAAGGCCTTCTTCGAGAACAAAGGGAAGGGGAAAGGCCCTGGACCCCACTAGGGGTCACAGCGGTGCGTGGGCGAACGCGACGTTTCACCCCTCGTGGCGGAGAGCGGCGAGGAGGCGGACCTGTGCGAAGATGTGGGCCGCGACATTCTGGACAGTTTTGTGAAGACTTGCCTGTGGAATGTCGCAGGAATGAGGGATGTAAAGGAGGGCGAAATTTGCATATGCATGCGTGCGAATGTCATCGATGTAGTATGTATGCAGGAGACGCACCGGCCAAATTCCGACCACTACGACGCAGAGGACGGATGTCTGGTGATCCTGTCGGGCAGTGTTGGGGTGCATCGCGACTCAGCCGGAGTGGGTTTTGTAGTCGCTCCACAGATGAGGCGTAGAATTTGCGGTCACTGACAGTTGGGCGATCGAATTGCTACGGTTAAGATTCGCACAGTTTTTGGTCATTTTACGGTGTGTATTGTTTACGCTCCACGCAACGAGAAACCCACGCGGGAAAATTCTGACTTCTACGACCGTCTTCAACGCCACGCTGTCGGCTTCTCGCAGTATGGTCTTAGATCTTTCTTCGGAGTTTTGCTCGTCCCTAGTCCAAATCTGGGGGGGGGGGGGTGCGTCCGTGGGGCTAAGCGCGCCTGGTCGGGAGCTGTGTCAGGAGAATGTTCCCGGGTATTTTTGGCTAAAGAAAAATGGAGCTGATTCACCGCTCTTCCAGATTCCTTTGGACGAGGGCTGAAACATGGTAGCGCGGATCTGGGTGCAGTTCCGCAGCCGAGGAACCGCTGCGCGACTCTTGCGGCGACTCTAGCAGCGGAGCGAAGTCGTGATGGGGCAGCAGCTGCAACAGCAGCAACATATAGCAGACCTACTGGCCACGGTGCAGCAGCTGCAGCAGCAGCAACAGCTGCGCGCAGCAGGACAGGCAGCTCAACAGCAACCAGTCCGCGTCGCCCAGCGATTCGAGGGAGTCCTGGACGCCAGGATCATAGGGAAAGCCAAGCAGTTCGACGGCTCGAGGAGCGCATGGTCGACATGGAAGTTTCAATGGAGAGCGTATATGGTGGCGAATGACAAGCGCTACGAAGATTTCTTTGAGAAGCTAGAAGCTAGAGGATAAGGCCTTAGACCAGCTGGACGACGCCGAGAATGCCACGATGAGCGTGGGCGACGTAGACTGGGAGGACCTGGGCACACAGCTCTACTATATGCTGGTGCTCGCGATGCCAGGAGACTCAGCGGGTGAGACCCATCATGCGGAACGTTCTACACGGAGAAGGTGGTCAAGCGTGGATCCGCTTGAAGGGCGAGTGCGCGCCCGATGAGCCTGGCAACGTCGTGGCACGTCTGAGGCAGATAATGTCCACGCAGTTTGTGACGAATGCGGACGTGGCCAACGAGACCGAGGAGCTGGACCTGGAGATCAGCAAGTATGAGAAGGCGGCCGAGGAGCAGCTGAGCGACAACATCAAGAAGGGGATCTTGCTCGGCGCGCTCCAGAACGAACGCGACCTGCAGAAGTGCGTCTTCCGCAACCTGCGGAACCTGGTCACCTTCCTCGACGTGAAGAATGGGGTCCTGAGTGCCCTGCAGGCTCAGCGCAGCTTGGGCGACGACGCGATGGAGATCGGTGCGCTGAAGGGAAAACCGAAGGGCAAGGGGAAAGGCAAGGCTGACAGGGACAAATACAATGATAAGAATAAGCACAAGTTCGAACCGAAGGCGAAGGACAACCCGAACCATCCGAGGAAGTGGTGCAGTCACTGCGAGAAGCCGAACCACGTCAAGGACGATTGCCGCAAGTTCAAGCGAGAGAACGGGGCCAAGGCGGGAGCAAAGAAGAAGGCCAAGGATGAGGAGAAGCAGCGTCGTGCCATGGCGGCGGCACTGGCCGCAGGTGGTGGCGCGGTCCCTGCGCCAGGGTGCGACGGCGCTGGCCGGCACTCGCAGCACCTCACCCACAACGCGGTGTGCAGGGAGCCGCAGCAGCACGCCCCGAATTCATCGGGGGCAGCCTCGACAGCGAGCACGATCCCGACGGTGCCGACGGGCGTGCGCGGGATCAATGGCCTCCTTGCAGAGCAGGGCGCGACCAGGCCGAAGTGCATCTTCGCCCTGGCGGCGGAGCACTCGAGGCCGAGGGCGAGGTCGGCGGAGTCCAGTGGATCGAGGCGCGGCGAGAGCAGCGACAGCGTGTGTGTCTCAGGCATCCACGGGGTCAGAGGGATCATGATAGACTCTGGGGCCCAGATCACAGCGTTCCCCTACGACATGCTGAAGGGCAAGGGCTACGTGCTCGCCAAGTCTGGGATCTCCTAGCTGCGGGCCATCGACGGTGCGGAGGTGCAGCGCTACGGCAAGACGGATGTTCGGCTGAAGACGGGACAGGACGTGATTCAGATCTCGGCGGAGGCGGCCGACGTGGAGTTCCCAGTGATGTCCACAGACGCGATTACGAAGCAGGGCAAGTCGGTGATCCGCTCTCCCCTGAGAAACTGGATCGTGGACAGCCCGATCTCACCCCCGGCGTCGGCGAACAAGATCAAGCTGAGGAAGGATCGTGGCACGTGCTACCTGGAGTGCGACGAGATGCTGGGCGGCTCCTCCGAGGGCAAGCGGGCGGTGCGCATGGCGAGCATCGGTGAGCTGGGCGAGAGCACCGGCGGGGTGGGCGAGGTCATCGGTGAGCAGCTGGGCGAGGAGCTGTACCTCAGCGCGACGCGCAAGACCCTGCGCGCCCAGGTCCCAGCCACCGAGGCCCGACAGCAGCTGCCGACGGCGCTCGGGCCAGACCCCAGCGAGAACGCCACCTTGAAGGCGAAGGCGCTCGCGAGGCCTGGACAGCCCTCGGACGAGGAGAGGCGAGCCCGCGCAGTACATCATCTCCCTTTCAGGCCGTGGTGCAGCGACTGCGTCATGGGCTGCGCGAGGGGCACGCCCCGCGAGGTGAGCGCGAAGCCGAAAGGCGACGACGAGTACCCAGTCGTGGAGATGGACTTCGTCTACGTGGCCACCGACGAGATAGCTAGGAAGTACCCCATGGTGTGCGGCTACGTCGTGAAGGTCGTCGACTCCAGGAAGCTGGAGCACAGGGGGCGTGGGGGGCTGCCCGCGATCCTGAACGTCGTGGACTGCAGGTCCAACGCCTCAGGCACGATCTTCGGCTCCAAGCGCATGGGAGACTACAAGGCGCACTTCGTGGCCAAACTCATCGGCAGCTGGGGCCGCGCGACGGTGATTCTGCTCGCGGACGGCGAGAATGCGATCGGCGCTCTGGCGGAGCAGGTGAAGAAGCTCAGGTCGCACTCTACGATCGCGCGGCAGGGCCCGGCGTGCTCATCCACGAGCATGGGGCGCATCGAGGCCAGCAGCGGAGCAGCTGCGGAACTACTCCGCACGTTGCGATTTTCACTCGAGACCAAGTTAGGCTGCACGCTCGAGCTCTCGCACTCCATCCTCGCCTTCCTCGCCAACGCGGTCGGCTGGTGCATCTGGCTACAAATATCTCTTCGGCCACGAGTGCGTGGGCGAAGTGGCGGAGGTCGGTGAGCAGGTGTGGTGCCGCATCGCGGCCCGAGTCGCAGCGGGGCAGGGCAAGTTCGAGGCACGCTTCGCGAGGGGCATCTGGGTGGGCAAGTCGGAGTTCGACGACCAGCGCCTGGTGGTCGACCTGCAGCGCGGCCTCCTGAAGGTCCGCTCGGTCCGCCGCATGCCTGAGGAGTTCCGCTGGAACGCTGAGGTCGTGAAGCAGATCGACGTTGCACCTTGGGGCCCTGTGCCTGAGCGAGTGAGGTCGAGCATCAGGAAGTCTATGTCTATCACCGAGAATATGTTGAGCACTTACGGCCCGACGGACAGCTGCCCGAAGTGCACTTGCGGACGGGGCCAGCACAGTGAGCAGTGCAGGCAGCGTTTCGAGACCATCGCGCAGGAGAGGCTCGAGGCGAAGCTCGCGGAGGAGGCCTGGGACGGGGCCGCCCCAGGCGCTCCAGCGGCGCCGTGGCCGGCGCCCCTGGCTCCCCCGCGTGTGCCTGCCGACGCGCAGGCGGCGGCCTCGAGTCCAGCGGCAGAAGCGTCTTCCACGGCACCCGCGCCAGTCGCGGCGCCTGCGACCCCAGGGATGGACTCGAGCGCGCCTAAGGCACTGGCGCGAGACCCTGTAGCAGAGACCATCAGAGCCGAACAAACGACAGAGGATCGGTGCGCTGGTGCAGGCCCCCGAGGTCATGGTCATCGCGGGCCTCTCAGTCTGCGAGCTGGCGGTCTGCGAGGAAGACGACGACCAGGAGGGGGGCCCGCTCTGGGACCCGATGCCGAGGGCTGAGGAGCGGTGTGAGGGCTTGTGCGAGGCGCGCGTGGGCCGCTGTGCCTACCGACGCGACCATGCTGGACAGTGTGCGTGCAGGAGATGTCTCATCGGCTGCGCCAGGAGGCTCAGACCAGACGCCGAGGTCGTGGCGAGCCTGTGCGCGTTGTGGTCGAGACGTAGGGCGTGCGAGCAGCCCGACTGGAACCCTGAGCCGAACTCGCCCGAGCCGACGGTGGGGATCCATTACGATTACTACCCCTCGACGAGGAGAAGTACCAGAAAGGCAAGGCAGACGAGCTCCAGGCCATGGCTGAGCACGGCGTCTACCGCAAGATCCGCATCGCGGACTGCGAGCCTGGTGGCAAGCGCGTCGGGGGCTTCCCCGTCGCGCGCGAGAAGGCTGGCGAGGTGCGCTGGCTTTGTGGCGACGGAGGTGGCCCACCAGCACCGCGAGGACAACCGCCAGGGCACGCCGCCACTCGCGATGATTCGCGCGATTCTCAGCTTGGCGGCCAGCAGGCCAGACAGCGACGGACAGCACAGACGGTGCATCCGCATCTGGGCTGTCCGCAAGGCGTTCTTCAACGGCGACCTGACCGAGAAGATCTACGTCCACCCGGGCAGCGAGCTGTGCGAACGAGGCTACTTCTGGGAACTGTTCAAGGCCCTGTACGGTTGGGGGCATACTATTTCTTGCTATGTTATTCATCGGGAACTGTTCAAGGCCCTGTACGGGACTCGACTGGCCAGGCAGCCGTGTGGCGAGAACGTGAAGGCTACCTCGGACGACGCTGGAGGCAAGGCGCTGAAGTGCGCCCCTGGCATGTTCTATTTCGCCAACCTCTGCAGCGACGGCAACGACGCCGCGATGGGGGTCCACGGCGACGACTTCACTGCGGAGGGCCATGTCGGGACGCTCGACCAGCTGGGTGACGTCCTGAGCGTGGGGTACGAGATCACCTCATCGCCGCCGCTGGGGCCTGGGCACCCTGGAGTTGCCCGCTGCCTGAAGCGCGTCTGCGGGTGCGTAGACCAGCTGCCCGAGACGATGCTGCCAGACTTCTTCTGGCACGCAGACCCGAAGCACGTGGCGGAGATCATCAATTTCGGATCCAAGGAGGGCGCCAGGGCGGTCGACACCCCAGGCACCAAGGCGATCGGGGCGCAGCTGCGCAATGCGACGGACCCGATGCCCACGACAGAGGCACGCAAGACAGCATCAGCGGGAGGTCTCGCGTTCTACCTGGCGGCGGATCGGTCCGACATCATGTTCGCGAGCAAAGCCATCATGCAGGACGTGAGCAAGCCGAGCCATCAGATGAATGCGAGGCTCATGCGGCTGGCCCGATACCTTGAGGGACACCAGGTCCTAGACTGGTGCTACGGGCTGCAAGACCTGCCGAGTATCCTGACGGCCGACGGCGATGCAGACTGGGCGGCCCCGACGGTAGTGGCACGCAAGAACACATCTGGAGGCGCGATCAGGTTCGGCAATCGCACCTGGGAGTGCCACTCGGCCAGCCAGGCCACCCAGGCTCTCAGCAGTGGCGAGTCGGAGTTCTACGCGCTCGGCTCGGTCGCGGCGCAGGGCTTGCAGATGAAGTTCTTCCTGGACGAGGTCGGGATCGAGGTTCGCCTGGTGGTGGCCTCGGACAGCGCAGCCGCGCCGGGCATGGCCCCGCGGCACGGAGTGGGCAAGGTCCGCCACTTGGAGCTGCGCCACCTCTGGATCCAGGAGCGGCTACGACTCCATATGTTCGAGCTCGTGAAGGAGGACGCGCGCAAGATGGTGGCGGACGTCCTGACGAAGTATGTGAACAAGGAAAGCATGGCGACGCACCTACATGAGCTGAACCTGAGGATGACGGATGCAGCCATGATGGTCTCGACTCTCCTGGTGATCCCTGGCGCGGTGGCGGCCAATGACCAGTGCGAGATGGACTACGGGGGCGAGAAGCTTGAGGCAGTGCAGTCGGGGGATTTCCCGTGGCTGCTGGCGAGTTTGGTCGTGGTGCTGTGTAGTATCGCGTACCTCTGCGGCTGGTGCGTGGGCAGGCACAAAGCGGTCTCCCGGACGGCCGAGGAGGGCCCAAGAGCGGCACTGATAGGCGAGAGGCACCAGCACCGCGAGGAGTATGCCGAGTCGAAGCAGCAGCCGAGCATGCAGGCTGGATGGAGGCTCGAGGAACAGAAGTACATCGCACGGGAGGTTCAGCGCCTGTGCGAGGTCTTACACCGTCGGCGAGCTGCGGGAGCTGCTAGTCGAGCGGGGCCTGGTGCTCAAGGACGGCTACACGAGGAAGGAGGAGCTTGTCGAGAGCGCTGGAAGGAGCAACCCGACGGAGATGCAAGTGATCACCCGGCTGACGAATGAGTGGAAGGACCACGGGATCGACGTGAAGTGGCGGGCTCGCATGCTGGCGAGCGGACGTGACATCCGAAGGATGCTCACCGCCACCGCGGAGGTCATGAACCGCCTGCGGGAGCGCCTTGTCTGATCATGAGGGCGCAGACCGTGGATGAGGGCGTTTTATTTTTGCCCGCTCTTGCGCATGCCGACCACGAGGAGAGGTGCTCGCCCCTAGTCCAAATCTGGGGGGGGGGGGGGGCGTCCGTGGGGCTAAGCGCGCCTGGTCGGGAGCTGTGTCAGGAGACTGTTCCCGTGTACTTTTGGCTCAAGAAAAATGAGGCTGATTTACCGCTCTTCCAGATTTCTTTGGACGAGGGGTGAAACAAGATTGGAATGCGAGGCTCGGCAAAAGACGTGCCGGGGAGGAGGACATAATGGGCGAGCACGCACTTGGGCGCGAGGTGAAGAGAAATGTTGCCCTTCCCAACCGGGACTTGTTTACATAATTCTGCATGGACCTCCAGCTCCTCGTGGCGAATGCGCTGCAGCACCAGCCCGCCGACCAGACAGCGACGTACCATGAACCAGCAGTTCGGCCTGGCAGTTCAATCAACGACATCGGCTTCAATGTCTTGGAGTACTTGGTTATTCCTGCTGCTCGCGAGCAGGGCCTGGTTGAGATTCGAAGCGACACCTCCTACTTTTGCTGCGCATCATTTCCCAGTGCTGGCAACCGTTGCGGTGGGCGCGCCAGAGACCTGAACGCCAGCCAGCAAACCGGCGGATTCATTGGGCCGCCCCCATTCACCATCTGGGAGACGAGGGCTCATGAAGGAAGTTGGACGTCGGGTGGAAGAGTCCGCAGGCGAACCTAATCGAACGCTGAGTTGAAAGAGTGCGTCTGCGTCTGTCATGGCGGCCGTGGACACCGCCGTGCCGGATTCCATTCGTGAGCCGAACAAGCCCCGGACATCAGAGCGTGCGTTGGCACTCATCGCCCAGAGACGCCAGGCGCGGACTGCCGGCGACTGGGGCGCCAGGCTGCGATTGAGAAAGTCCTTGAAGCAGTCAGCCAAGCAATATCGCAGTGCGTGCCTCGAGAACCTGACAGCTACTGGAGACTGGGGCTGCATCAAGAAGATATTGAAACGCAAGGGCCGGCCGCAAGGGCGACTTCGCAATCGAGGCGGCGACCCGGTTGCGACAGATGAGCGCGCGGAGACATTCGCGGGGCACTTCGGCAATATCCAGTAGTGCGCGCGCCCTGCAACTTTTGCGCCAGACACAGACGATGCGATCTACCAGGCGTTGAACGTGAATTTGGATCGCTTTGCGGATGCAGAATAACGTCGCGCTTTATAGAAGTTGCGCATTGGAAGATCATGCAAAAGAGGGGGCATCCCAGCAGAAGTTTATAAATCTCTCGTTGCCGAGCCAGGGCAATTGCAGTGGTTGCTAGTCATCTGCAATGCCGCGTGGGCGGAGAAAAACCTTCCGGATGATTGGTGCGAGTCTCGTGTGAGCTTCCTCCACAAGAAGGGTGACCCAGGTACTTGCGACAGCTGCCGACCCTTGTCGCTTCAATGCGTAGCCGTGAAATCATTGCCATGCTCAAGCAGAGGCTCCTGGATGCAGGCGTGGATGAGAGGTTGTGGGCGTCTCAATTTGGTTTCCGACCTGGCCGCAGCACCGAGCGCGCTGTCTATGTTGCCTGGAGGCGCATAGAGACAGCCAGGGCGCAAAAAGGAGGAGCTGAAACCCTGTTGACGTTGGATTGGAAGAAGACATTCGACAGTTTGCGCGCAGAGAGCTTGCTGGGCGCATTGCATCGGATTCGCGCCCCATCTGAGTTCCGGGAGATGGTCGGCGTGATGATGGAGAAAAGGGTGTTCGTGGTGAGGCAATGCGACAACCAGTCCGCTCCTAGACCCCAACTGTCCGGGATCTCACAAGGTTGCGCCTTCAGCCCGCTGTTGTTCGTCCTGGTCATGACGGTGTTCTTGCACGATGCTGCCTCGAAGCTTGCCGGCGGAGGCGAGGAGGCGCACTTCAAGGGCGATTTTGTCCGATTGCATTTGCGCAGACGATGCGCTCTGGCTCAGCTCCAACGAAGAGCACTTGAAAGAGTTTCTGGGTGCCGTTGCCTCCGCGGGCAAGCGCTGCGGAATGGAGTTGCGTTGGAACAAGTCTCAGGTACTCGCAGTTCAGTCGAAGGGCGAGATGCATGCCCCTGACGGCGCGGCCCTCAAGCATATGCACTTGCAATACCTTGGAGCACATCAGTCGGCAGATGCAGACATGGGCCACGAATCGGGTAGAACATTCGGAGAGGCCAAGAGGAATTTCACAACGTTGCGAAAAGTGTGGTCTCATTCTTCCTTGACGTGGCCACGAAAGATTCGAAATTACACTTCAATTGCGGAGTCTAAGTTATTATGCGGGCTTGCAGGGTCGTGCTTGGCAAAATCACAGCTGAGGCGGTTGGACGGCTTCCAGAACAGGTGTGCCCGTCCGTTCATAGACATCCGACCTTCATGGATGTCACGCGTACGGAACGTAGACGTGCTGAGCCGTGCAGACTAAACCCTAGCGAGCCAACAACTTCTGCGCCGGCAGCTTCTGCTCTTTGGTCAAGTGCTGCGCGCTGATCGTAGACATCCGCTGCGGACGTGCACGTTCGTTTCCGGCTCGATGACATCACAAACATATGCTACGACGAGGAGGGTTGGTAGGCCATGCAAAGAGCTTGCCAATGAGATGATGAAGCGTTCTGCGCGCATGTGTGGTAGCACGGCAGCAGCCGAGGCTGCAGCGCAAACTCGCCAATCTGATCGAACTATTCGCGCCTTGTTGTAATTCCACGTGCATTTTTTTCATTTCTTCCTCCACCTCCTCCTCCTCCCCCTCCTCCTCCTCCTCCTCATCATCTTGGTCGTCCCAGTGTGATCCACTTGCGCGCTGTTCCCGTGCGTGGTGCCCTTGGCTCCCAGCGCACAAGTGCAGCTTCTCACCGGGAGCCGACGGCTGTGGCCCAGCGTGTAGCCAGGGCCCAGGCTTTTCTTTCAGCCAGCGTTCATGCCCACGCACCGCTTGGTGTATGGTTTGTCAGTCAGTCAGTCAGCTTCCAGGACTGCATTTCACGAGGCTTGTCCGAATCATGAACGGCGCTCGACATCGTTCCTGTTGCTCCGTTGCTGTTATCGTACCTCTTGGTGTCCTTTTGTGGCCTTTTGGTGGCGTCTTGGCCTGTCCGCAGGCCATATCAGGCCTCTTGGGGGCTTCCTGGGGGCTTCTTGGAGGCCTTTGGGCTTTCTCAGGGGTCCCTCAGGGCCTCTTAGGGGTTCTTGGGGCAGGTTGGGGGCGTCTCGGGGCCGAAGGCTCGACAGGTTGGGGACTCCGTCTTGGAGCCGTCTGGGGGCCCTCTTGGGCTGTCTTGGGGGCTTCGTGGGCTGTTGTTGGACCCTCTTCGACCCTTCTTGGGGGCCCCTTCAGCCGTCTGGGGGGCGATGTTGAAGGTTTCTTTGCCCGTTGTGGACGTTGTGAAAGCCGAATCGGCGAGCGTGCGAAAACTGTTTGTTTTTCGCAGAGTGTGGGCCGATTTTCGTTTCTTGGGACCCTTTTGAGGCGCATCTTGGGGGCCTTTTGGGGCGTCTTGGCAGTTTCGGAGGCCGCCTGAAAACCGTCGTGGGCGTCCAGGGGCGATCTGTCGGCGAATCGTGGCCCCCTGGGACCGTCTGGGGAGCGTTTTGATGCCTTTTTGGCCAGTTTTGGAGCTCTCCGCTCCTCCGTGGCGCGTTCGGTCCGGTGTCGCGCTCGGCCCGGGGGGGTCGAATTGCCGGTTTGGGGTCCCCGGGGGAGGGATTATTGGGGGGGATAATCTCACACGCCTAGAGACCCACAAGGGGTCGGCGGATTTGACGGGACGCGCGAACGAGGAACGAGGAGCGTGGACCGTTTTTCTTAAGGAAAACCTTAATATAGGGCTCCAGATTGCATCTTGGACGGGCGTTGGCGGATGACGGGAAGCGTCTTCGAGGTACGAGAAGCAAGCGGGACGTTCTGGCTGAATCCTTGAGTAAATATATATATATATATATATATATCTTTAACTATATGGGTTGCCGCGCTGCACGGGATGACGGGAAGCGTCTTCGAGGTACGAGAAGCAAGCGGGGCGTTCTGGCTGAATCCTTGAGTAAATATATATATATAT